TAGTAAAGTAAATAGAGATGATTAAAAAACAAACATGGACATAGACATTTCTATGCTCAAAATTGGTGTTGAACTTTGCATTTTGAAGCCTCAATGTCAGCACTTTGGCCACCACAATGTTTGTCTTTACTTTAGCAAGAAGTTACTACATCAGGACCAATCACTGTCATTGATCAGGACTATAGGGCTCAGTGCTAAGTAGTTATCTAAGGCTAGCATGTTTTGTTAGCAAGCTGCATTCATAAACTGTATGTGCAAAACAAGCATACTTGCTCAAAACGACAGCGAAAGAACAACCCTGATGGAGAGATTCAGTTCAATGACTGGTAAAAGTGGAGTCTATCAGACAGCTACAGGTTAAGCCCCTTTCATGTAGGACTTGGCAAACACTCTGAAACCCAGTCTTTTCCATTGCTTGTATGAGGCAATAATGGTTGCCCGTGGACGAGCCGGTGAGTAGTCATGCATGCTGTAAAAGGGCCTTTAGGCAGCAAAACTATCAGTCTAAACAATCAAATTTAATCCCCAACAGTATCCAGATGGATAACTAATGAGCGGCTATGGAGGGTAAAATTATAATAATTATAATCCACAGAGGCCAAAGGTGTTTTTTTTATACCAGGCTTTAAACCAGGGGTCCCCAATCTCAGTCCACGAGAGCTGGTGTCCCTGCAGGTTTTAGATCTCACCCTGGGTCAACACACCTGAATCACATGATTAGTTCATTACCAGGCCTCTGGAGAACTCGGCTGTATCCCAATTCAGGGTCTGCAGCCTTAAAGGCCGCATTTTAAGGCCGATTACGTCACAGCGACGCGACGAAGGCTGTCCCAATCCAAAGGCTGCTCGAAATGCGGCCCTCAAATGCGTCCTTCATTTCCCTGAATTTTAAGGACGTGGTGGTGTAGACTTCGTGGCCCAACATATCCCAGAATGCATAGCGCGGCGGTGGGTGTGGATAATTTTGCTGAAAAAAAACGGCGGATGAGGGGCGGCCGAAGAGTAAACTTTAAGTAAGTACTGAATATTATGTCACTTATTTATGTGCAAATGTTTAATAACAAAGAACATTAAAACATTACTGTTGGCCACATGTCGGCAAAGTTATGTGACATTAGTGACGTTTGTACTAACTTGGTTTTAAAGCCTTTACTTTAAAATATACGCCGTTCAATAGCTGAGCTTAATCTTACAGAGAATGATCAAAGCTCATGTAGAAACAAACAAACAAATGAACAAAAGATTTTCTCCTTCATTTCTGTCAAACAAAGCTGTATGAAACGTTTCCAGCTGTTAGTATCATGGTTGCTAGGCAACCTGGGCAGCGTGACGGAGGCTAGACTGTCCCATTTCACACGCCTCGCACTTCCGGCCTTAATGGTCTTTGAGTACGCGGCCCTTGTGGACCATTAAGGCTATGTACTTTAAGGCTGCAGACCCTGAATTGGGATACAGCCCTTTAAGACATGTTGAGGAGGTAATTTATCCATTTAAATCAGCTGTGTTGGATCAAGGACACATCTAAAACCTGCAGGGACACCGGCCCCGTGGACTGGGATTGGGGACCCCTGCTTTAAACAAACGTTTTAATGCTGTTAAGTTCGGCATTTTAAAGGATGCCTCAAGTGGCCATTAGAGGAAGTGCACTTTGTGTTGGTCAACGATGGATTAACCATAGTTGCAGATAGGAGTTGTAAAAAAATATTGTCTCCTTCATGATATTTGTGAATCCCAGTTCTGGTATTTAAAAGAAATGAAAGTGCTTCATAACGGGCATCTGATTACCATTTAGCTGATATGACCTATAATTTTAGCACTTCCTTAAACACCAAGCATACACTTACACAGGCAGGATGGGGAACAAAACCTCCATGGTGGAGGTAATAATATGTTAGGTGCCGTACATATAATTATCCCAAACAGCAATTTTCTGTATTAAACTTAAATCCAGAAATGTAATGTTAACACTGAAAATATAGCCCTTATGATACGCATGCCTTAGTAAAATGTTCCAAAAAGGAAGGTCTGCTTAATGGGTTTGGTGTTCTTTTGTTGTTTTAAGACTTCCTACAATAAATACAAATCCTTAATCTGCAGCATGACAATATTTTAGGGGCTTCGGGGAAATGTGTAAAAACATCAGAGTGTTAATGTTTGACCAAAATGTGATGTTTCGTTTTACCTCAGCTTAGAAACAGACTTAGTATCCCGTGAATCCAGGAACAAAATACCTGCTGTAACCAGTTTAAAACTAAGCACAGGCTTAATGTTTCTCATAGAGAGAGCTGATTTCATAATGACGTACTGAAACTGTGCAGGCCAAGTGAACACAGGTATGCGACCTGCTCTGTGCACCCCCGCCTTTTTGGGCAGGTTGTGCAGTTTGTCTTTGATCCTGAACTACCGGGTTAACTAATTTCAAGGTCAGAGGGTCCACAGTGTACATTCCACAGCTTTTAATAGGTCACTGCTACAACACTTTGCACTGGAAAGAATGACAGCGCATGTACAAAATTATTAATTAGACGAGGAGCAAACATGTAGCGAGGAGGTGAAGGATACGAAAATGTTCCCACAGTCTATCTTCTTTCACCTGCTCCCCCGTTTAAAAGCCTCCGCCATCAGTGAGCCAAGTATCAGGAACAATGTCTGCTTGTCTCAGACTATGCCCTTCACCCATCCTCTGAAAATGCAGTTTGCTGCGACATGATAGATTAATGCCAGCACTAAATCAAGCTCTTCTGTTGTGACACTGCAACCTGGTGTTAATAAACAGGGAGACCCTGGGCTTTCCAGGTAAACAAGGAAACAATGGTGCAGTTAGAGTATGTTAGAACAGAATCTAGTGTTTATCTGGTATATAAAGTGCTGTAAAACCTAAAATTAATTATTATTATTGTATTATGTGTAAATTAAGCTTTGTTACAATCGTTCCAGTCAGCTGAGCAAATCAGCTGCTGATTGTGGTTTCATATGTTTGACACAGATGCATTACAGATGCTTGCCTTGAGAGTGTTGGTGGAGAAATATACAGATGATCAGAAGTTGCACATCTATGTGCCAAGAGAGGAGCTATAGTACTGCATGAGGAGTCCTGAGTGGCAGAGAAGTACAGTATGTGAGGGTGGTGCAGGACACGTAACGTGACAGTGGTGAAGCATGTGGCAGGAGTGACAGATGGGATGGGGTGGGAGTACATCAGGGATCAGCTGTGAGCCCATTCTTGTTTGCAGTGATGATGGACAGGCTGACAAATGAGGTCAGGCAGGAGTCTCCATGGACCATGATGTTTGCAGATGGTACTCATCTGTAGTAAGAGTAACAGGCAGGTGGAAGAGAGACTGGAAGGAGGGGTGGAGGTATGCACTGGAGACAAGAGGAATGAAAGTCAGTAGAAGCAATACAAAATACATTAGTGTGACTGAGAGGGAGACGGATGATGATGAGTATACAAGGAGTAGAGGTGGGGAAGGTTGTTAAGTTGGAGGTGTTTAGATTCTTGTTGCGTGTGGCCGGGATTACAAATAAGTATATGAGAGTGACAGCTGGAGAAAGAGTGGAAAGACAGATGGTTTGGACATGTGCAGAAGAGGGAGAGTGGATAAACTGGAAAAGGGACATTGAATTTTTCCAAGCAGAAAGAAACAAGTCAGACTAGAGAGAATAAGAACTTCTACTCCTGCACCATCGAGAGCATCCTGACGGGAAACATTTGCACCTGGTTTGGGATTATGATGGACCTCTCCCATCCCAACAATGGGCTCTTCTCACTGTTGAGATCTGGGAAGAGCTTCTGCTCCCTTCAGGCCAAAACAGAGAGAATGAGGCGGAGCTTCTTCCCCCAGGCTATTCTCGCCCTGAACCAGGTGTAGGACTGGACTCTCTCACACACATCGCATCACCGCACGCACTGTTTATTTGCACACTTCTTATAATTTCTTTTTTCCTTTCATAATTTCCTCTGTAAATTGTTATTTATTTGCACATTTTACTGTAAATTTCTAAGTTAAAATCTGTAAATTTTGTAGTAATCTCTAAATCTCACTGTCATTTAATGGTCGGTCATTGCACAGCAATAAGCATTTCACCACATGTCGTACTGTGTATGGTTGTGTGTGTGACAAATAAAATTTGAATTTGAATAAAAAGGCAGAATTTAAAATTAAACAGTAGATCAGTTTAAAATTTTAATCTTTGCAGTCACGTCAGCTTCCAAAACCAGTCACATCATTTAATTACTTCAAATGTGAGCTAACGACAGTATCTTAAATTAAAACAGTTGCATGCTCTGAAATAGACATGAAAATGTGAAAAGTTCCTTATTAGGAAACCCTTTTTAAAGACATTTTCAAAAATATCAATTATTCCAAACACATCTGTGACATTTAACAAGTTGACTCCCTTCTGCTTTTGTAACTCACATAAACTTGCATTATTCTACTTTGAACTGTGGGAGGTGAGAGATCAGATTATATACACATACTGGCCTGAAATGTTGCCAAGTTTCAAAGTTAAGATCATGCTACCTAACAATGCAGCCAGAAGCTGCCAGCTTAGCTTTAGTACAACCAGCTGCTAACTGAGGGTCATCCCCAAAAATCTATTTCAGTCATTCCATGTCAGTCAAATGTTCTTCTACTAGAAGGCTACGTAAACCATTAATGATGTTAAACCATAAGCTTCAAAATATTTCCAGTGCTCAGCTTTGACTGCCGTCTTCAGTGGCTGGAATGCAGAGAGTTACATACTAACGAGGACGAGTCAGACTTACGCACAAGCTTCCTGGTTAAAATTTACATCACGAGGGAGCCACAATCATTGAAATCCAAACCAAGTTCTTGTGTTTTGTTTTCCACAGTTCTGTACTTTAAAGTCTGATTAAATGATGCTTATATTGACCTTGTCATATTAAACGTAAACCACAGTCTCCAGTATCGAAGGCACACACTGAACACCCTGAACTTATTGATATTTATTGCAGTGCTACAAAAACATTCTGCTCTTGCTATTTTTGAGTCTGAGGGAGGAATGACAGTTTATGTTTACAAGACAGTCCTCGTCTGTAGAACGTGGTCATTTTCAGCATTTTAACCAGAAGCCACCGCTTTTATCCCGGAGCACAACTGCACCAATAACCAGTCAAACTGACCCAATTTCCAAAGCTTTTTCCACTCAATTTAAATGCAGTGAACACAAACATCAAAGACTGAGCACTGGTGACACTTTCTGGGTGTGACTGATAAGAGTTCCAATACTGGTTCAGAATAATTACATAGTAAGACGGTGGTTTTGATAGTCTGATGGAAAACTGGCACAACCAACGCAGAGTGCAGTTTGGGCATGCTCCTAAATAAATAACGTGTCACTTTCAAAAACAATATCATAATTTATTAGTGTCAGCTGCTAAAGGGAATAAAATGTCAGTGTTAAGCATTTATGATTCAACTTGAAGAAATACATTGCACCAGTAGACAGAAAATAAGTACACAATAAAATTTCAGTTACACAATCAAACTACATAAAACAGTTAGCAGGTTTCACACTTGGCTATACAGCTCAGCACAAACTATAAAATCAGATTGACCTCAGATGATCTGGGTGTGTTTGAGGTGCAACTTAATCACACATCCTTTACCAACTATTCCAGATCCCAAACCAAATTACATAGTAAGGTTTAAGCATTGTATTCCTCCCTTCTTCCATCACATCTTTTCTTCTTCCTTCAGTGTCAGATCAGCTTCGACTCTTTGGCCTTCCTGAACGGGAAGCTGTTCTGCTGTCTGGATGACAACTCCCTGAAAGACCGAAATAAATGAAGAAATATTCAACTTTAGGGGAAAATAAACAAAAAGTGGAGATTACATTAAATTACAAATCCTAGCAAGTTATCTAAACAAAAAGAAAAACAAAACAAAACTGCTCCAAGGGCTTGATGGCACTGTGATACAGAAGTGCTGCAGTTTGAGCCACACATCTCTCTACTAACATTTCTCATTATCGTACACATTTAAATGTCAAGTACGTTCAGTGTGTAAAGATAGTGAATTTGTCACTCTGCCATAAATAGTAGGGATCAGCCAGACACTGGCATCATAAAATCCTAGAATAAGATAACGTTTACGCGATAATCATCTAATGTGTCCAATCAATCCTGTGCTAAATGTTCAAAGAGAACATAATAAAGATGTGACACAGCCTTTTCCAGAGGTGAGCAACCAATAATGACAATGAAAACGGGATATCTACTTTTTAATATACAAGAAGAAATGTTTGCTTTGTTACATTATTCTTATATCATAACTCGGGTTGGTTCTTTAGCTTTAGCATTAGTTAGCATCATGAGAATACAAACACACAACCGGGACACTTCATAAGCTTGTTTTGGCAGAATGCCAACATGTTGCTTCATCACATGCGTGTCTACAAAACCTACACACTGCAGGAGATCTTAAGCTTTATCATCTAAGCAGAATCCAATAACATGATTTTCAATTTTCCATCTTGAACATTTATTGTAGGACAGGTTTCATCTCATGGGAACAGTTTTTTAATACCTAAGCTTCCAGACAAATAAGTGACATAACAGCAGACAAACAACACTGGTGAGTTATAATTATGTTCTGGGATCTGACTGCTACACCCACACGCAGCAGTTTAACCTGATCGACTTCACATATTTAGTTTGGTTCGTTTAGTGAACTAATATAAGCAAAACAATTTCATTTTATTGCCTGGATATCAGAACCAATTCTGTGGGTTTATTCGGTTATTAATTATGGTTTCTGGCATTTATTTTAAATGATACAATCCCATCCATACCACAGCTCCTCTTAAATTGCACCACAGACGATCACTCTCAGGAGCTCAACTGACATTTAGCTCATCCGCCAAAGCCAACAGACGTAGAAAACGTTCTTGGGTCCAAATAAACCACAAACTATTTTGTCCCCACCCAGCAGCTTATCTAAGAGAATCCGTCAGGCGAAAACCAGCAACGTGGAATCAAATATTGTACAAACATCCTGAAAGAGGTTATGCATACAAAGCGTGTTTGGATCCAAACAGAGCAGCGCTCTGAATATTTCAGATGCCATCTGTCCTTTCTTTATTTTTCATTGTTTCTGTTTCTAAGGACTTTAAATATTTGACACAAAAACACTTCATAGATACACAGCCTTTGAACAAAATTAAAAAAGATGCATTGCCTGTGACACAAAGTATTATCTAAAATTCTAGCTATGCTTCACTGCACAGTGAGACCCCGTCTTTACCGTCGAGGCCGTTTCACTCTCCTTTGCCAGCCAATAATAACCCAGCCTGCATCAACTCCACATGAAATAAACAGCAATTGAGTTTCTTGGATTAAAATGTCTGACTGTGCTGTGATGATGTGAAGGAGGACTTGTGGCTGGAAGAGATATGCAAGTTTGTCTGTGGGAATATGCCTTTCCTCAACTCTGTGTTTGATTGACTCAGTGCTGTTTGGCTTGATTGTGTGTTTCTGTCAGTGTGTGAGAAGTGATTAGACTGAGCAGGTTAGCTATGGTGGCTTTAGCTGCATGTGGTTGGAGACAGACCCAACCTGATGCAAAACAGCCATTCACTGTGACCAGCCCTCAGTCTGGCCGTCTTACTATACAAGCCAGTGGAGGTAATTCAGTGGAAGAATTGACACTATGGTAATGGTGCTCCTTGACCTGGTCCCATACTATACAAGCATATGGCCAAGGTGGTCTTTATAACCATTTAAATGTTTCACTAAGCAGCACAACCCCATGGAGCAACCAGCAAGGTGGGCCCCACAGTATTCAATTGACCTTGTCATATTAAACGTAAACCACAGTCT